GGTAGCTGGAACCACGATACAGCAGATTGCACAATGCGTCCGAAGACCGTGGTCCAGTTGCAGGTTAGGACGATAATGTTTCGGGACCTACAGGTGATCACGATGATCCCCGTTCGCCGAGTCAATTATCTTTGGGGTGGGGGATGAGAGTGCTATCACCACAATACAGCAGAGTGCACAATGCATCCGAAGACTGCGACACAGCGGGCAGTGATAGCAGTAAAGATTCAGAACCCACAGATGAACACAATGATCTCCGTTCGCTGAACCATTCACTTTAGGGAGGGAACGAGCTGTGGCCACAATACAGCAGAGTGCACAATGCGTCCGAAGACTGTGATGTAGCTGAGGTGTGGAGAGTGAGGATTCAGGACCCACAGATGATCACAATGATCTCCGTTCGCTGAACCATTCACTTTAGGGAATGAAGGAGCTGTGGCCACAATACAGCAGAGTGCACAATGCGTCCGAAGACCGTGGTCCAGCGGGAACAATCAGAACCCACCGCTGGTCACAATGACCCCGGTTCGCTGTATCTTCACTTCGGAAGGGTTTTTTTGTGATGTGAGTTTTGGAGCGCTGCTGCAGGTTTCTTAATAATTGAACTTTTTATAGCTTCTCTTGCTTCCTGTCGTCTAGTGGTGTACAAGTGTCTAGTTGATTCGTCTAGAAAGACACGACTGAATCGAGTGAATCGAGTGATCGACTGATGATCCTATCGAGGAAGCCGCTGCTTATATCTGAATTCCTATCGAGGAAGCCGCTGCTTATATCCTTGGTAGGAATACGTTAAAACTAGTGGGGATAACGATTTTTATCCACCCGAGGTGTTAACGTCACTTTTTGGATCTACTATTTTGATTTGATTATTTGATTTGACTAATTGGATTACCGGTTTCTTCAAGTACCGGCTTACTGGTATTTCTATTGTATTTGGCGCGTGCCGGCTTATAGCGTCTGGGCACTTGTTTGTTTTGATTTCAGTCTGTAGACTGTCTTTAGGATTCTAGGAATGTTAAAGGTAATAATTTCTAATATTGTATCTTCATGACTGTCGCTGTGACTAGATTCAAGGGAGTTATGCAATATTAGAGAATTAAAGGTCCTATATCCTCTTTCCTTTATCGGCGTCGCTGTGAGAGGTCGATAGGATTATTGAGGAATTCTAGGATTTGAGGAGTTCTCTCAGATACTGTTATACACATCCACAGTGCGCTATGCACTCTTATGTGGGGCTCTTGACGTATCCATCATCGAGAATGATAATTGGGAAGGAAAAAGGATAAAGGATAGGTGGGTATAAGGTCGGAACGTTACAATATATAGAAAAAAGCGTTTTTTTCCGTTAACTTTGTTCTCGCCTTTCCTGTGTATTGTATCGATGAAAACTACATTGACTACGTTTACACAGCGCCATTAAACCGGTTTAGTTAATACTGATCTAAAGGAATTGACCAATCACAAATATTTCTTGCAAGTAGAAATGTCTATTATTTGTCTATTCATGTAGATCAGTATTAACTGACCGATTCAGATCGCCGAGTAAAAAGAGTCAATGATAAGAAAGTAAAAAATTATAAGGGAGAAAGTAAAATCACCTGACCGGAAATGATTAGGGGTTGGGTACCATAGTTGGGTAGCACATCTTTCCTTGCTAGTCTTACTGTGCTAAAGCGCGGAATTTGAAAATAATTATTGGAGGTTTCATCATCAAAGTGTGAAGCTTACAGAGATGATTCAGGATTGTGCAAGTATCCTCGGAAAAGGGTTAGGATTTGTCCGGTACTTGAATACTGATGATGCTGAATGATCGCATAGTGAAATGGACCATCAATCATAATCTGGCTATCACTTGGTTCCACCGATGCCCTATCAGCAAGCATCATAGCTAAAATACAAATAAAAACAAAAACTACAAGACACTAAAATCGCAAGTCACTCACAGGTTTTACTTGATATAAACATGACACAACATGCTCATCAACTCTCCAATGAGTTGTGTCTAGTAAAATGATGATACAGTCAGTATGGAATTGCTTTAGAGACGAAGGATTCCTCAGGTTAACCAAAGGGATGCCAAGACAACTGACTAATTCATGAGAATCCTTTGATCGTAGCATACTGTTATGATAGATTAGAGACTTGCAATCGGCTCTCAAGAATTCCACAGGACAGAGGGATAATCCACTTTATCTATAGCCTTGACAATAAGGATGCCATGCATATTGAGAATACTGCAGATTAAGAAATGGCGGAAGCTCATCTCCAAGGAGCAAACACAAGAGAAACTCTAATAAAACTAAATAAAGTTCAATTCGTTCTTAATGAAGACGCAGGAACACGCAGGTAACCGTAGAAGAGGTCAAGGGTCTGTTCGATGTTTGAATCTTGATGATGCTCAATGGTCGCATAGTAGAAGGGACGATCGACCCTAATTGTGGTATTTCATGGCGGCCGAACATTTCCTCTTGATATCACCATATTCAAGCCTGAAAATGAAATAGTAAATTTTGATTCCGTCTCTTTCTTCTCCCTATCTCAGAGTTAGTTATACCTGTGTCATATAGAGTTATTTTTGTTTCCTATTTCCTTTTATGGTTTTGGATTAGTCCTCGTTCAGTCAAGCCCTCTACAATTTCCCTAGAGGTTCAGGATCCTGGCAGTGAATAGTACAATATTGCGCAGTTTGATCATCGCCAAGAATGGACGGTCTACCCGGAAGTCGACTGGAAATTGCGGCGACACGTCCAATGAACCCAGATACATCCTGTAACCTGCCAAAATCAATTAACGACCATTAGTTCGAAAGATTTATGGGAATCATCTTGGAGGAGTATCGAACGCCGCTCTTATCTTTTGTCATGATTCATTTTACACTTCTACTATTTCCTTACTTATCTTCCTTGGCTGAGATAACGCAGAAAGAAAGTTAAGAGAAATGGAGACGTGGGCATAACCAGACTTGGTAGTACAAGAAGAGGAGCGTGGTTCGCCTTGAAGGAAACGAATAATGAAATGATATATTCTTCAATAAAATGTGAAAAATAAAAAGCATTAAATATAAGGGAAACAGGAACTACCTTATGGATTTCTAAAAAGGTGCCCTGTCGAAACAGTCCACACGCGTTATTATTCCGACAAACGTATTCCGACTCATTGTAGAAGGGTGGCGCACACGAACAAGCTCATTAGTAGACACCACAAAATCGAAAGAGAAAAGCTACAGAAACTTTGCATACTGAATTTTCAACCTGCAGAGCCTTCGATAATTCTCCCCATAAGTAAAGAGAGATAGAATACAGAAAAGAAAAAAAAAGAGCAAAGAAAATTCCATTGCAGGCACGAACCCTAGTAGCGGATCTTCGAACACAGATAAGTGAAGTTCATAGGATTAAAAAGAAAATGAAGAGAATAGTTTCGCCGATCGACTCACAGGCTCACAAAACAGGAGGAAGATGGAAGATAAATAGATGTACGGATGAGGAGTGACAGAAAAGAATAGAAGAAAATGACATATGTATTCCAAGTGAATGTCACTTACCGGTAGCTGCAGCAGCTATGCTGCCTTCTTCGTTTACTTCGATGAAGGCTTTCTGGACGACCTTGCTCACCTTAAGAGGGATATCGGAAATGCCTGAGAAATTGGCGGCATCCGTGAACATCTCAGTCATGCCCATCTGAAAGATCATTTGCGGATCGCGGACTATAAACTTTTAGATCAATAACAAAATTCTTATTTACGTCAATGGTCAATTTACCTTTTGCAGTAAATCATTGAGTTCGATGGTTGTTTCAATTTTGAACTTTGGTAAGTAAAGGATCACTTTCTGATTGTAACCTAATTGTGGTAACAGACTGAAATCGACCTCATGAATATTGTTCACAATGCGCTGAAGCCCTTCAATCTCGTTAGGCACAATTATAACCATACTGAGTTCATTGGCCTGGAACGAAAAAATAAAGGTTATCTGAAATTTTCGACCAAAAAGAAGAACGCTACAAAACCAATAACTATCAGATGCAAATACACCTTATAGGGAAGTTCAATGAAACTGGCATGAAGATTATCAAGATAACCGTAAAAATAGTCCGCAGTGTTCCTCATAGTCGGCACGTGCTTAACTGTATTTGAATTGATATAGAAGGGTTCATCACTGGTGAGATGATTATGGAATTTAGCTTTCCAGTCGCCCTTGAAGTAAACAGCATTCACCAGTACCAAGCCAGTAGAATCGTCGATAGCATCTGCATTTAGAAAAAGTGGAAAATTAAATAACCAACTGACAATGTAGGGATAAATATTTATCAGAAAAAATGAATTTATTAAACTAACCGGAACTGAGCAGATCTTTTATACGATCATTCGTATTATTTGCACACCAAGAGTTGATAGTAGCTGCAGCAGCTGTTGGATTTGAAACGTCTATTTTCTCGCATTCCGAGTGGAAAGTGTTTTTAGTAATAGCCGCGTATTCGCGCTTTACCTCGAACGCCTTAGCGATAAAGATTTTATTTGCAACTCGCAAATTCACATTCTTAACGTCCTACAAATAAAACGAGATATTTAATAAATATCAAATTATAGTTTGACCAAAAAATGTCGCGCTACATCTAATTCCAATGCATACATTCAAGGTAGCGATAAGAGAATCATAGCCACTTTGACCTGTAGCGTCTTCCTCAGGGAGCCTCAAAGTTTGCCTCATCTGGTGAGCAGTGTTTCCACGGGCACCATAGGTCGACATAGCCAATACGATATTGACGCTTAATGGAGAACATATTATATTGCCAGATTTCTCCTGCACCAAGCGCTAATAAATAAAAAAAGAGTTTAATTCATTAATTAATTTCATATATCGCTTCCAGGTAGAAGCTCTCGCAGTGTAGTCTGACATTTTAATATTTACTTTAAAGAAGTCGCTGCCGAAAGAGTTACTGGCGTTCGCTATTACTGACAGAGGACTGTTTGAAGCCATAATTTTTCCTGCACGCGTATACGTCACCAGGAACACGCACAGCACTGACAGACCGATGATATATAGTCCTACTGAATCACCACGAGTGAAGATATTGGGTGACGAGAAATCTTTACTGTTGTTGTATCTTGCCGTTCTGCCAGCCGCCACGTATTTTATACTAATCTCAAGCGCGTGACGTCATCCGTATTTTTATAGACAGTACAGTCACGGTCGTTCCACTTTCATTGCCATTGCCAAGGATACTATCCCACACAGCATTTGATAACCACAGGACACCCAGAATATATTATCAGTATCTAAATTGAAGTCCATAAGATATCTAAAGTTCCTGTAACGGTTAGGAAAAAATTAAGGTTTATTTAGGGAGTAATAGGACTTATGTTTATGTTTAGGTTTACGTTAATGTTACATTCGGTTGTTACAGTATGTTCATGTTTCGAAAATACGTTCATTAGAGATAATAATAAATGGATGAAATTGAATGTGTAAACGTAGTACAGAGTAACTCGGGCGCGGCGAGAGACGGATGGCTGTGTCGTTCGTTTGAGGTTTCCTCGTTATGCGCGATGACTGGCGGTCTGACTGTTTATGGCGTAACCTAGCGAGCGCCGGAGACCATGCGGGTTCCCGTGGCCGTATTATCCCACCCAGAGCCGGAGAAATGTGTATGGAGGGTATGGAGTACTCCATACGCCTTTCCTGTGTATTTTATCGATGAAAACTACATAGACTACGTTTACACAGCGCCATTAAACCGGTTTAGTTAATACTGATCTAAAGGAATTGACCAATCACAAATATTTCTTGCAAGTAGAAATGTCTATTATTTGTCTATTCCTTTAGATCAGTATTAACTGACCGATTCAGATCGCCGAATAAAAAGAGTCAATGATAATAAAGTAAAAAATTACAAGGGAGAAAGTAAAATCACCTGACCGGAAATGATTAGGGGTTGGGTACCATAGTTGGGTAGCACATCTTTCCTTGCTAGTCTTACTGTGCTAAAGCGCGAAATTTGAAAATAATTATTTTCAATTCAGGATTGTGCAAGTATCTTCGGAAGAGGATAGTGAAATGGACCATCAATCATCATCTGGCTATCACTTGGTTCCACCGATGCCCTATCAGCAAGTATCATAGCTAAAATACAAATAAAAACAAAAACCACAGGACACTAAAACCACAAGTCATTAACATTTCCTTTTTCTACTTGATATAACTATGACACAACATAAATTGTCTAATAAGTTGTGTCCAGTAAAATGAAATAGCAGTCAGTAGGGAATTACTTTAAAGAGAAAGGATTCCTCAGGTTAACCAAAGGGATGCCAAGACAACTGACTAATTCATGAGAATCCTTTGATCGTAGCATACTGTTATGATAGATTAGAGACTTGCAATCGGCTCTCAAGAATTCCACAGGACAGATGGATAATCCAGTTTAGCTATAGGCTTGTCAATAAGGATGCCATGCAGATTAAGAAATGGAGGAAGACTCGATCTCATTTCTCAAAGAGCAAACATTTCAAGAACCTAACTAAGTTTTGCAAAACGGCACTCAATAGGAACACGCAAGAGAAACTCTAATAAAACTAAACAAAGTTCAATTCGTTCTTAATGAAGACGCGGGAACACGCAGCTAACCGTGGAAGAGGTCAGGGGTCTGTTTGATATTTGAATCTTGATGATGCTGAATGATCGCATAGTAGAAGGGACGATCGACCCTCACTGTGGTACCTGATGGCGGCCAAACATTTCTTTTTATCACCTTCTTCAAACCTGAAAATGAAACAGCAAATTCTTGACTCTGTCTCTTTCTCTTTCCTATCTGAGAGTTAGTTATACCTGCGTCATATTGAGTTACTTTTGTTCTTTATTTCTTTTTCTGGTTTTGGATTAGTTCTCGTTCAGTCAAGCACTCTACAATTTCTCTAGAGTTTCTGGATCCTGGCCGTGAATAGTACAATATCGCCCAGTTTGATCATCGCCAAGAATGGACGGTCTACCTGGAGTATGAGCGGCCTTGGCGACGACCTTGCACCTGAACACAGTATCCTGATGCAGCCTGCCAAAATCAGTTAACAACCATTAGTACGAAAGATTAATGCGAATCATCTTGGAGGAGTATCGAACCTCGCTCTGATCCTTTGTCATGATCACGGTTTTGTATACAGGACTGGACACTTCCCTACCCCCACAACGTCTTATCTGTGACCGCTAATGTGGCCGATTTTTCTGGTTTAGCCCGGAAGCGCTAGTGTCGAAAAAGCCTGTTAGGCTCTTACAACGCCTCTTGCGGCAGTGGCCACCATATTGTCACGCACTTTTCGCCTATGTGCACAGATCTGTATAAAAGTCCGTGGTCATGATTCACTTTACACTTCTAGCATTTCCCTACTTATCTTCCTTGGCTGGGATTACGGAGAAAGAAAATTAAGAGAAATGGAGACGTGGGCATAACCAGACTTGGTAGTACAAGAAGAGGAGCGTGGTTCGCCTTGAAGGAAACGTATAATGAAATGATATATTCTTCAATAAAATGTGAAAAATCAAAAGAATTAAATATAAGGGTAACAGGAAGTACTTTTTGGATTTCTCAAAATTCAGAAAGTGCCGTTTTCAGACAGTCCACAAGCGTTACCGTTCCGATAAACGTATTCCGACTCATTCTAGAAGGGTGGCGTACACGAGCAAGCTCATTAATAATAAGCAAGAAAGCGAAAAAGAAAAGCTACAGAAACTTTGATAATTTTTCCCATAAGTAAAGAGAAATAGAACACAGAAAAGAAAAGAAAAAGAGCAAAGAAAATTCCATCGAAGACACGAACCCTACTGGCGGATCTTCCAACATAGATGAGTGAAGTTCACAAGACAAAAAAGAAGATGAAGAGAATAGCTTCGTCGAAGATCTTAGAGGCTCATAAAAAAGGGGGCAGATGGAATGTAAATAGGTGTAAGGATGAGGTATGACAGAAAAGACTAGAAGAAAATGACATTCATATTCCAAGTGAATGTCACTTACGGGTAGCTGCAGCAGCTTCGCTGCCTTCTTCATTCACCTCGACGAAGGCTTTCTGGACGACCTTGCTCACCTTAACAGGGATATCGGAGATGCCTGAGAAATTGGCGGCATCCGTGAACATCTCAGTCATGCCCATCTGAAAGATCATTTGCGGATCACGGAATGTCATTTTTATATTAGTAAAAATATCCCTGTTTACATCTATGCTCAATTTACCTGTTTCAGTAAATCATTGAGATCGATGGTTGTCTCAATTTTGAACTTTGGCAGGTAAAGGATCACTTGCTGCTTGCGACCTAACTGTGGTAACCGACTGAAATCGACCTCATGAATATTGTTTTCAATGCGCTGAAGTCCTTCAATCTCGTTAGGCACGATTATAACCATACTCAGCTCATTGCCCTGAAACGAAAAATTAAAGGTTACATGAAATTTTCGACAATAACAAAAACGTAACGAAACCAAGGACTATCCCATGCAAATATACCTTATAGGGAAGTTCAATGAACCTGGCATCAAGATTATCAAGCTGACCGTACAAATACACGGAAGTGCTTGTCATAGTCGGCACTTGCTTAACTGTATTTGAATTGATATGGAAGGGTTGGTCCTTGGTGAGCTTATTATCGAATTTAACTTTCCAGTCGCCCTTGAAGTAAACAGCATTCACCAGTACCAATCTAGTCAAATCGTTGATAGCATCTACAATTAGAGAAAGTGGAAAATTAAATAACTAACTGACAATGTAGGAATAAATATTTATCAGACAAAAATCACTCTATTAAACTAACCAGGACTGATCAGATCTTTTATACGATTATTCGTATTATTAGCACACCATGAGTTGATAGTAGCTGCAGCAGCTGCTGAATTTGAAACGTCTATTTTCTCGCATTCCGAGTGGAAAGTGTTTTTAGTAATAGCCGCGTATTCGCGCTTTACCTCGAACGCCTTAGCGATAAAGATTTTATTAGCAACTCGTAAATCCACATTCTTAACAGCCTACAAATAAAACGACGTATTTAATAAATATCAAATTATAGTTTGACCAAAAAATGTCGCGCTACATCTAATTCCAATGCATACATTCAAGGTAGTGATAAGAGAATCATAGCCACTTTGACCTGTAGCGTCTTCCTCAGGAAGCCTCAAAGTTTGCCTCATCTGGTGAGCAGTGTTTCCACGGGCACCATAGGCCGACATAGCCAATACGATATTGACGCTTAATGGAGAACATATTATATTGCCAGATTTCTCCTGCACTAATCGCTAATAAACAAAAATAGTTTAATTAATTAATTAATTTCACAAATCACTTCCAGGTAGAATCTCCCGCAGTGGAGTTTGACATTTTAATATTTACTTTAAAGAAGTCGCTGCCGAAAGAGTTACTGGCGTTCGCTATTACTGACAGAGGACTGATTGAACCCATTGTTTTTCCTGAACTCGTATACGTCACCAGGAAGGCGCACAGCACTGCCAGAAAGATGAGATGTAGTCCTACTGAAATACCACGAGTGAAGATACTGGATGAAGAGAAATCCTTACTGCCGTCCTATCCTGCCGTTCTACCACGTATTTCATGCTAGTTTCAAGCGCATGACGTCATCCGTATATTTATAGGTAGTACAGGCACGGTCGTTCCACTTTCATTGCCATTGTCAAGGATACCATACGGAACACTCTTCATCTCCTTCATACGAGTCGATAAACAACGTAATAAGTGGTATGATCAGAGTTTTAAAAATATGTAATCTCAACAAGATTAATCACATTTTATTTAACCCTATAGCCTCAGTTGACATCAGATACATATACGTTATGACCTGTCACATGTGTAATTGTAACTGAAATATTGTATCTGCTTTTAAGGCATATGAAACTGCTAGATAATCTTAATTAATAGAAATTATTACCTGAGACTCGATATGACAACTGGATGACACTTGTAGACCGAATGAACTTAATAACGTTTGAAATTCTAATATTCTATACTGTCGTAAAGTCGTAAAGTC